TTTGTAAATATGTTAATCCTTTTGAGAATTCAGTATGCAATTTCTTTGCTTTTTTTTTAGAGACAATAGTATGTAATCATTAATCTTCTTCACTTTTCATCTTTATGTTCTAAGAAATGAAGTAGTAATGGACAGTAGAATACTGCTAGGTATTGCTCTGTGACAAAAAAATCTTATAGTGCTCTACGTTGGTTTAAGTTTTCGAACTCGCATTCGACTAAAAACTGAAACTTTTATAAAGATACAGAATATATGTCACAATGATATCTCGACGATCTTATTCGTTCTAAAATGATATTATAAATTATTATTTCTGAATATAGTATTAGCAAACTCTTTAAAACTGACATAACTTTTTTGACGAGCATTGTGCTATGCACTTTTAAAATATTAGATGCTATAACTTCAACTTTACTAAGAAACTATGATAATATTTTAGAGCTGTTTTATAAAATTTCTCATAATATATTAACCATAAACACATGATTTAAAAATGATTATATCAGGTACCATTGCTTAAGTAGTTCTTGAGGTGTATGAATAATTAGAGAGGCACACTAAGGTTCAGTTAAGTTCGAGTATATCTAAACATTGTTGGCATTTGATAAGATGTCTGGAGAACTTCAGTTTTTGGATCATTTATCCCACTACGCATAGGTTTACTATAGCAATTCCTGAAGTCTTTTCTTCTGGGTTATTTGTGCATCCTTTTATTAATTAACTGAAAATGACTGCAGTTAAGACTTCTGTCATATTGATGGAAATGCTTTGAAACGGGATTAGGAAATAAAACAATTATTAAGACTTATATTCCTGTAATAGAATTTATTGAAATGAAAACTATTTTCAGTGCTAGTCTCAAATCATGTACTCCAGAAAAACAAAACAATCAGCGCTTACTACATTAATGTTACATCGAATTTTATGATTAAATATTTTTAAAAAGTTTCATGAAAAGAAATGAAACAACGATGTTATAATTTCTAATTATTATTTGAAGCAATATCATATAGAATTTTACAGTTAATTTGAAGTATGAAAATATAATGATCTGTTTTCGCTTCAATGCATTTGTCCGTATTTTGTTGAAGAATAATAAGTTATGTAGTTGTTTCAGAACTGTTTGAATCATTACGATTATATTTATGGCTAATATAAGCCGACAGTTTGATGACACATTACTGTTTACATTCATCGTGAGAAAGTACCCAGAAAAGTACGATGAATAGCGTTAGGAAAGAAGAATCTGACAGAAACCCGACATATTTCATAGGTCACGTCGCACTTGATCTGACTCGACCCGAACTCATTCGAAGGTCGGATCGGTTTACAAAAGTCTAAACTAGTTGTAGCTACTTTATTAATCACAACTGTGTAGTTTTTATTTTAGATCTTTAGGAACATACTGAACTTTCAATAACTTTAGTCAATCGACTATTCCATCTGCTCATGAAGTTTAAAATGATTATTCACTAGTACACTATCGAATAGGGTGTCTCGAAATATAAATTAATCTATGCTTCGACATAGAATATTATATAGTGATTCTTGTGTGATGCAACAGATGGCAAAGTTTCATAAATTTTTCTGATTTTCTTCAAGTTTGATCTTGAAAAAAAAAAGGATTAAAAATTTTTATTTTGAAATACATATTCTTGTTGAGTTTGTCAAATTCTATCGAATTATATATAAATATCTAGACGACAACAATATTTCGATCGAATTTTACAACTCAACTAATACAAGATTAATAATTTCTTGGTGAAATTTTCACTTCAGAATACTATCCTTGACACATTGAGAGTAACAATATATCCTTGTTGATCTAACTTTAGTACATTGAACTTTTCTCAAGTTTTTACTACACTTCTACCATTTGTGATAGCTAAATGAAATAAAATGTCTTGCTTTATTTGCTGAAAAATTAGTTTTGATATGCATGTAATCGAAAAACATAATAGACAATTAATGCTTTCTCATTTGTTTCTTTCTTTGTTCATGGTACAAATATATGTTAGATTCAATTAAAACAGTATTGTCAAACTTTTTTTGTCGTCCGTGACCATGCACATCTAACATTTAATTTTTTTTCTTCTTGGTTTGATTTCATATGAATTATACTTTGATTGATAATAGATACTATCAAACAATTTCTTTTCTATTTGTCTATTAATTTTGTGTGAGTAATAAAATATTAAAAAGATACAAAGCGATGATTTTTGTTTTGATTGATAGAAAAAAAAACACATATAGGTTCTAATACAACAAAAATGATTGATTCGGATAATTATTCAAGTACACAACAAAATAAATTTGCCTGAATGGGGATTTTCAAGGTTAATACTAATAATGGTGAATCATATGTGTCAAAAAAGAAAAAATAAGAGAGTATTGCTTTAGGAAATAATACAAAGTGATCATGAAAATTGTTTAAACTTTTGTTGGATTTATTAATTATTTTTCTTGTTATGTCCAATCTTGAATAATTAAAACATCATTTTTTGAGGACGAGTTAGATTTTATAAAACTGTAGATAAACATTAGTTTCGAATGATTTTTCTGAAACAATGTTAATTAAACAAATAGACCGCGTATGATTTTGTTTGCATGTACGATAGTTTCTATAAATTAGTAGCAGAAATATGTTGAGTTTTGACATAAAGATTGACTGGTTTTTCTTTATTTTTGAGAAAAATTGATTAATTGGTATATCTGTTATAGAAAAACAGTGTAAAAAGATAGATATGCCATTCAACTGAGTGAAAATAAAAGAACATTTGAAGAGAATATCGTCAAGAAACAACATGTCAAGTTTTATATTTTAGACTAGAGTATGTGCATGAGCTCGGTACATGCTTCTACACAACAGAATGTATATATAAACAATTATATTCATAAAAACGATGTGGAGAAATAGTTTTCATTAGTTTTATAATTTGATTGATTTCTATGCGAGTTTTCAAAATATTGTCTTTATATAAAAGTCAATGTTAATTTTGTAAACCGTCGAAAATACTCCATCAAGATGAATACTTTATATTTGTTTGTTGATAAATATTGTCTATTTAGTATTATGAAACTCCTCGATGACAATAGTGAATCACGTATTAGTCAAATAAGTATTTATACTAAAATTTATTCTATTAATACACACTTTTTAAGAACTATTGATTGAATCAATGACAATATTTATTTAGCTTTTTGTTTACAAGTCAAAGAAGACCAGTATATGAATGCAGCGTTTATACAATAATGTGTATTCTTCGATATGAAACTAATGCTTTTGATAAAAATAATAAAAAGTTAATGAACCATTTGATTATTCATAATCATCAATTAAAATATTTTGTCTTTAAGAATTGTGTATATGGAAATTCTTAGTAACAATATTAGAAAAACTAGTAAATATGTAATACTGTTGCGCAAAATTGACATTCATTTTCTGGAAGAGATTCTTCAGTTGCTGAGCCTGTGCATATTTTTCTAAGTCGTATAAATAGATAGACTTGTGTTTCATACGCTGAGCACAATTCATAGCATGTTGAACTTTGACTATTGATCAAATAAATCTTAAATATGAGTATGCTGATTGTTATTTTGATTGATCTTTACATAAATGTAATATAACCGCTGACTTTTCAGATAGTGTATTAAATAATTTTATCAATCAATGATGAGTCATTTATAAGAAAACGCATCAATATTTGGAGCTTAAAATAAGTCAAATGACATTTTTCAAGTTAATTTTAATGACAAATTATTCATACTTTAACGTAACATATAGAAGAATTATATATTGTTCACAGTAGGAACGTTGTATTTCGATTTCGTGCTAAGAAATAGTTTGAAAGTTTAAAAACTATTGTGATAACCAGTTAATAAACCAATAATTATTAAAAAGAAACTCAACAGTAGAGTCTCTAAATCGTTAGTCTCTTGTTCATAGAAATTCAAGCAAACAATAATACAAGAAAAGGTTTCGATTAATCTTGCAATCAATGTCTCTTAAATTAAATTTCAATGTTACTTTTTTTCATATCTCTTTTTTCGTAGAGACAAAAACCAAAACAAATACGTGTCGATCAATGTATAAGGATCAGTCAGTCTTAATTTTCTATTTTGAACGAAGAGAAAACAAGACCTATATCTGAGTCATTTTTAGGAATAGTCAAAGTTCTCTAAATTGCCTACCAATCAATTAAATTGAATATTACAAGTTTTTTTTTAAATTGTGAGTTTTACTTTTCATACAAACTGATGTATTCTATGACTGCTCAATTCATGTATTCTTTATGGTTTACAAAGATGGGTGACATATCATTTTGTACAGTGCATACTAATGAAGGCCTTTAGTCTTCATTGCTTCCTCTTTGATTATAAGCCAATGTCTATACTTCAATCGTATTTTTCTTCATCGAACTTGTTGGAAGCTCTTACAGAAAAAAGAAATGCATGGAATTCATCGAAATCAATTCAGAAAACATACAGTCAAATAAACATTCAACATAAAGTTGCCAATGATAATTGTCGTTTTTTGTTAATGAAAATTTTTCAATCATGTTTCACTATGTTTTTATTCAATTAACATTAACATTATGCAACACTGAATACTTTGAATTCAAATCTTGTAAATTATTACAGACAAAGACTAATGTTCGATATTGAAAGTTTTATTTTGACTCAAAATTTATTATAATCTCAGTGCAATGCCATTAAATAAATCACATCATGTCGTTGAAAAAAGAAATGTTTTTTGTTTGATCAATACTCTTTTCTTTCTTTATACTTCATTTTGATAATTTTTTTTTTAAATGGCATATTCAAAAAAAAAACTTTTCGTTACTTTATTTTTTTATCGATTTCACCTGTACAAACTCAGTTACAGCATTTTGTGAATGTTTGTTTTATCATCAGTTAATTCATACACAGACAAGAAAGCAACAACATAAAAAAACAACCAGTTTAAAACGAATTTTTATCAGGAAAAAACAATTAAAAATATGCAAGATCCAATGGAAATGGACAATTCAGACGATATAGATCCATCAGAATATGTTCGATTACAAGAAGAATATGAAGAAAAACTAGATGAATTTATGCGTAAACATTTACGTCGGACATGGCCTGTATGTGTGATACGTTTACTTGGTATTTTTCAATTATTAGTTACTTTGACGATATTTGGTGTTGATTTACCAATTATTCTTATGTTTGCACCACGATGGCAAGTTTTTGCTGGATGTTGGGCATCTGTACTTGGATTTATTGCTTGTGTAAGCACTCTTCATTCATGTAAGAAATTAAATAATATGATTTATTTTAAATTTATAATTTAATTTGTTTTTGAAGCTCGAAAAATGACTTGGTCAAAACTTAAATGGACTGCAGGACTTAATATATTAGGTGGAATAGCTGTTGCTCTCATGGTAGCATTTGATATACTTTATTTGGTAAATTCGAAAATTTGTCTTATTGCTAGTGGCTGTAATTATTTATCGTATACATATTCACCAGTTAAACCATTTTATACAGCAGAAGTTGTTATGGGTGTTTTGTTTTTTTTATCAGGTTATTTCTTTTATTTTGCTTTAAATATGCAATCCAATTATTTTTTTTTATAGTTTTCGTTTTTCTTGTTCTGTTTATTAAACATGGTATAGGTGGTATAACACTTTTCGAAAATATTCAAAAAGGATGGGCACCACCTATTTACAAACCTATTGTACCACCTAATGACACTATGCCAATGCTACAAAACCCAATGACGAGACCTGGAATGATGATGCCTCCATCACACCATGGTCCTATGCCAATGCCACCACAAGCAGGACCTAGAATGATGATGAGACCACCACCACCTGGCTCTATGCCACTATATCAAGCACCACCACCTGGCTCTATGCCACCATATCAAGCACCAATACCTGGAGCAATGATGCCAAGACCTGGTGCACCAATGATGCCAAGACCTGGTGCACCGATGATGATGCCCGGCGCAAGACCTCCCATGCAAGGATACTATAGACAACCAGGTCCATATGCAGCTCCACCACGTCCTTATTAGGCTAGAAATGACAATGTATAAACGAATCAAATGCCGAGTTTTTTATTTTATTTTATTTTATTTTTCAGAATATTCAAATATATTCATTGACTATAAGTATTTGAATAAAATATATTTAAAATATTATTTATTCTTTACATAAAAATGTTCAATAATCATAGTTTTTCAATAAAACGAATCAATATATTAATTTGAATAATAAAAAATATTTGTATTCATCGAACTATTTCTATCTGTTACATTGTATCTATAAGAATAAACTAGCGATAATAAGAAAAAAAAAAATCGTTCTGCATCACTAATCTTTCCCATCACACGTTTTTTTTGTATACCTTCAAGCTATAAAAGAACCTGCATATTTCTTTTTATTTTATTGCGCATAAAGCACAAATTATTTATAACTAATTGTAGTTTAAATCTAGTAAGTACTACTATATCGTTTAAATATCTATAAATAACATAACTCAAATTTTTATATAAATAGAATGAGTGAAACTCCTACTGATCCTACCCGTCAATTAATTACTGAATGGATGCATCAAGAAAAATACAATCATAAAGAAGAAAACAAACGTAAATTTTATGCTAATCTAGCTCATGCAAAAGGTGTTTTAAAAGTAGCTGGAGCTGATTTCAAAGTAAATGAAGAAACAAGAAAATGGGTATCAGGATATTTAGCAGCTATGGGTTTGTATTATTTTATAATAAATCATTCTTTTCATTAGATAACGAAAAACAAACAGCACAAATATTTTTTGGCTTGTTTAGGTGTACAAGATGAAATATTAAATTTAGCTGATAAATATAAACCAAATATAGAAGATGGTACTGTTCCATATCATTCAAAAAGTGGTCTTGAGCATGCTAAATATGGTCAATTATGGATATTTTTTGATGGTTTTTGTGCTGCATCAGCTGGTGGAGAATTAACACCAGACAAAATCACAGCTATTTATGCATTAGCAAAAAAAATGCTTATTGATGAACAAAAAATTAAAGAAGTTCAACAATTATTTGAACATGAAATGGAACTACGTAAGAAACGTTTAGAGATTTTATTTCCTAATGGTATATATGCCGCTATTAAAGAAGTTGAAATGGAACAATGAAATCATTTATTAAGAAGAAAATTATTAGACAATTTTATATTATGTAAAATTTAGATACATATTGTAATTTTTCGACTGATTTTCTTCAATAAAAGATTACACTATATACCTGATTGATAAAGAAGAAATTCTATAGGACATTTCGTATATTACCTAGATAATTCTAAAATTTCACCTCTTCTCGTATAATGACAGTTTTGAAAATTTCCATTTTTAACAAAAGATTTATCTTCAATCAATGATACAAGTTAAAACATACAATGCAGTGGAATTTGAAAGAATATCTATCCAGTTATATATGTTCTGTTTATTATAAAATAGAAGTCCTTACTCTAACAAATGAAAATTATTGTCGAGATAATTTTAATAATTCATTTATTAATATTGTTATATTCTTATCAATAGTAAGTGTTGATATCCAACTTACAACACCAATGGTAACAAACACGTAAATACCGTTTCACACATTGCTATTATGGCCACTTGTGATCTTGCTCAAATCTATTCCCATTATTAATATGTGAACTGTAACATGCTTTACCATTATTAACGCCCTTTATGATTCAGATATAGATTAATAAAAGTTTGTAAATACCCAAAAATGACGAAAACGTATAGTTTTCATAAAATAGATAATATCACATATCATGGTTGTCTAAGATACAAATCACACATTGATAAAAGAAGTGTTTTTTTCTTGCAATGTCTCATAATAGTAATGCTGTAGCTCAAGTGGTGTCTACCTATATCAAATAAATGTGAAAATTAAAAAGGTAAAGTTAGGAATGTTTTATAATTTAAATATATATTTATCATTCCAAACTAAATCGAAGTGGATATTTCAATTCCGATTCTCAACTAAGAAAATCGAATAAGAAAATTCTTTGCATAAAACTGATCGAAATACTTAGTACTATTACACTCACATATATTTCGATAGAAGTCATGCGTGGATCTCAAGATGAAGGAAATGTTAAGAAGATGTTTAAGAAAATGTCTCTTAAAGGTTAACAGCTCAAAAGATTTTGGTTGTTTAATTGGATAATAGTGAATGATTTGCAATTATTACGGAGAGAGAGTGTACACCTGTAGTTTCGACTTTCCCAGTCTTTACATTTCCTTTCTTTTTATCTTTTGAATTTGGTTTTTTGTTGTAGATTTGCATAAAACTTCACCTAGATTGATAATAGATAAGACTATGAACAAGATTTTTGAATATTGAGAAGTTAACTTTTATACATATCAAGCAGTGGCACAAATGGAAAAAAAGTTGTAGGAGAAACTATGCTTCTTGGCTATGTCCACAAGAAAACGTGAAGATTTTAGTTTACGAGTTAATTATGAATATTCTTTTTTTTGTAATATACTTCTTTTATCTTGATACATTCGACGCAATTCAGTTTTCTTAGAAGACTTCTTTAAGATATTCATTTTCATAGACAGTTCACTTCTAAGAAAAGCACTTACAGGCCTTTCCATTATGTTCTACAGTTTATTTATCGTTCTCTTCTTTGTAACATCAGATAGTGAAGTATTTTTTGCTTTTCAACTGAATATTTGCTCAAGTTACTTTTTCGTTCTTTTACATATAGTAGATAGTATATGCGAGGTAAGGGAACGAAATTCCTAGCTTTTTCTGTTTTAATCTTGTCTCTCTTTCCTTTGTGTATAAAAGCAACCGAAATTTTGGAATAATTCACATATCGTTTGAAGAAACCGATAAGAAGAGAGAGAGCTAGCTCACTCAGTGAAGTGAATTCTTTGAATGATGATTTTGATAGAATGCACTTTGAATCTGCAAGTTATAACGAAAAAGTTACTGATGATGAGATTGATTCACACGACTGGAATACAATAGAATCATAATCGGATGCAGAATTTCTGAAGGATCATGGACTCGCCAAAGAAGTAATTCCTGCTTCAGGAGATAATACAATCAATCCTATCGATTACTATCGGCATTTCATCACGGACAAAATTCTTCGCCTTATGGTTCGCGAAACTAACCGATACGCAGAGCAATACTTGCAAACTCATGAGATTAACAGACGGTCAAAAATTCTTCAATGGACACCAACCACTGATGAAGAGATGCTCAAAGTTTTGGGAATTATTATCGAGATGGGTTGGTACACATGTCGAAACTGGGCTACTACTCGAGCAACAGTCGGTTGTATGGATTTGAGATCATTTGAAGTGTCATGTCGAGAGGTGAATTTGAATTACACCAAGTTTTGGCATTTTCGGAACCATATAAGAAGCATCCAAATCAACATAGACTGTTCAAGTTGAAAACGCTTTTGGATTTACTGAAAGCCGGATTTGCATCAGTGTGCATTCCTGGCTCAGTTATTATTATCAACGAAACAATGTTACTATGGCGAGACGGACTTTTGTTCAAACAATATATTCCTGAAAAAGTGCACAAAATATGGAGTAAAGATATGCAAGGTAGTGGCTACCGATGAACGCACTTGTAATTATGTGATCTATACTTGTGAGCAAGATTCCATCGCAGGTCTTGGATACACTCAAACAGTTGTAATGAGTTTATTGAATGGTATTCTGGGATGTTATCGAACCGTAGTAACTGGCAAATTTACCAGTAGTTCTCTTGTAGAACGCTTGTTGGAACATGATACGTATCTCATTGGAACATTGAGCAGTAAGTGTACAGGCTCAGGAAACGAAGTTCTTCAGAAAAGCCTCAGTCGTGATGAAATTTACGGGCTCCAGAATAAAGATGGCATACAGTTGATTATGTGGAAAGGTAAAAGATATGTTTTGATAATATTCACAAGATCGTCGCCTTCAGCAACTGTGGTGGACATTGGAAAATCTTATATTCAAAATGAGTACATTATGAAGCCACAAGTTGTACTAGATTACAGCAAAGGTGAGACAAGTTAGTGATTTATCTGACCAGCTATCAGCATACTATGCATGTCTCAGGCGTTCAATAAAGTGGTACCAAAAGGTGGCATTTGAATTGATTTTTGGGGCGGTAATAATTAATAGCTATTTGATATACAAGAAAAATGATGCTGCAAACGAAGTGACCATTCTGCAGTTTCGCGGAAGTTTTGTGCGATCATTACTCCTTGGTGCACCATTTGAAAATCTGAAACCTGGTCCGAAACAACAATCAACAAGGCATTCGAAGCACAAACTAACTGATCACAAGCTCGAAAAAAAGGAAGGATCTTCGCGCAATGTTCGAAGGCGCTGTGCTGACTGCTACAAGAAAATCAGGTAACAGAAATCAAGAGAAGAAAACCTGGCGACAGCAGATACAATAAAAACTTTCTGTTCTGATTGTGAGAAATTTTTTTTCTTGATTGTTTTGACGACAAATGTCACGCTGTGCAACAAATGATTCGAAAAATAACGAAGGCAAAGCAGACGATACTTTATGTGTAACCTGCCGCCTAAGAAAAAGAAAAAAGAAAGTGTTTTCTATTAAGCTTCTTAGTAAAATATAGTGAGACCCATTTGTAGGTCTCATCGCGTCGAATGTTTTAAGAAGTTTTTTTTAAATAATATGTCAAATGTTTATAGGATGAAAACCATGTAGAATTTCACATGAACTATAAAATAAAAAGTTTCTGAATCTCAAGTGCGACACAATTCAATTTTTCTAAGCAGAATTCATCATATATCAAGGAAGATAAGTACTAAGTA